GGTCTTTAAAGTGATTCGGCCAGCAGCTTAAATAGTTAGAGGTGTCAGCTAAATCAACAAGTAAAAATAGTTGTCACAAAAAAAGCTGAACTCTAGATGACAGATGTATTTTGACAAACTAGGGGAATATGAAGAGAAGTTGGATTTCGAAGTAGGACAATCATAAGGAAAAAATAAAATTTCCCTCGATAATACAAGCTTTTCAAAAGTTTTTAGAACCCCTCTCCAGATCGTGTTGGAACAGGATTTTGTGCCAATGCAGTGTGGTAATGTAGATGTGGGGGATATCTGCAGACACATATATACGAGTTAATATAAAAAATAGAGTAGGTCGTAACATTATATGGGTAAAAAAAAAGAACTGGATGAGCGTATGACTCATACAGGACATCAGATGGACAAGTAAACGAAAGATTATAAAAGGTATGAAGATCAAGATGGTGTGGCCTTTTGTATAGAAGTTGTTTAACCTTGTTTTCTTAACTTGGTCATACTGGTAGGAAGACCTATGGAGTATATATAACAGTCGACATCCTGAAAAAGGGAAAATGAACGGCAACTATTTGTAGCTGCCGGATAGAATTAGGGGGAGAAATAAAGAGCAAGAACTACCGCCAAGCGAAAGGAAAAGCCTAGCAAGGTATGGGAGGTCTCGTTAGTTTAATAAATCTCGGGCATAAGAATTAGGTAAGATTGCAGCCCATCTTTCTTGCCTTAGGGCCTGATGAGTTTTCATGGGGCATGGCTACTAATTCAAACAATGTCTGCCACATGGAAGACGAAAGTTCAGCATGGATTCATCGGAGCCACAGAGAGATTCATTAATGATTTATTAGCAAAAACATAGGACCACAACTCTAAGGATTAGGACGGGGTCAATTTAAGAACCCCTTCCACCCGCCGTTTCAAACAAAATGAAAGTTAAAAAATGATATATGGGAATTTCTCAGCCATTTTAGAGAAGTGTGTAAGCTCCAGAAATTACCTGGTTAGAAACTGCTCAACCACTTTACTAATTCACTAAGAAAGCAAGTTATCATGAAAAACTACCGATATTCGGCGACTGGAAAGAGTTTAGGATAAATCACCCGATACATCATAGCTGAACAAAAATGCCAAGTGTCTGGCATCATATATATATATATATGAAGAGAGAAAAGAGATTACGAAATTAATTGAGATAAATTAATGCTCCGGTAAATTAAGAAGAGCTGTGATTAATAGAGTAAACTCCTATATGAAAATAAGAATTATAAAGAGTGCTTAATAATATGAAATATTTTGACCTTCGATTTTGTATAAAGTTTAAAGGGATTATGAAATTGATCTCAGATGAACCTATACATGACCCTCGAATTGTAAATGTAGAATTCCCTCCCCTCCTTGATTGACCTTGCACATCAATAAGTAAATCTAACAGAGGATTGCCACCTAATCTATATTAATTTAGCCTCTTTTTCAAAAATAACTCCAAGGGCGATAAATACTAGTTTATTTCGTGTAAGCGCAATGCTTCCTATTTTAAGACTTAGTCAAAAAGTTTTACAGATATGAAGATCAAGATGCTGTGGCCTCTGGTATGGTCGCAGTCTCCTATCAATTTATAAAAGTGGATTGACTTGTTTTCACAACTTGGTGTTGTTGTCAGGGGGACTTAGTAGAACGGACCTAGTCCGAAGTTTTCTGCCATAGAAGCTCTCATGATTCTCAGCATCATACACTGGACTTAGTACCTTCTCAAACGTTTCGACGGCATCGTAGTCGGCATCATCAGTGAGTTTTGTCATTCTACACTTGAATATATTGAGCGCGACCCCTCATAATTCGAAACATGATACATTTTTCGGCTGAAATAAAACTCTAAGGTAGATTGAAGTTGCTTGACCTTGTTTTCGCAACTTAGTCATATTGCTAAGAAGGCTGAGAGGAACTCACCTAGTCCGGAGTCCATTGTATGCGTGATCATTTCCAGAGTAGGAAGTGGACGTGGTACTTTCTCAGACGTTTCGCCAGCATCGTCCGTGAGTCTCGTCATTCGTAGCACAATGGTACAGCTCGCCGATTACGATACCAGCGAAACGTCTGGGAAGGTACCACGTCTACGGCCCTACTCCGGAAATGATCACGCATACAATGGACTCTGGACTAGGTGCGTTCCTCTAAGTCAAAACTACTTCTATAGAACGAAAGGAGTCTGCGACCACACAAAAGGCCACACCATCTTGGTCTTCATATCATTTAAAGTAGATTGTTATCTGCTGGAGCTACCCCATAATAATATAAACAAAAGAAACAGGAAAGAAAAAAAAAAGAATTCTAGTTGATCCTTACCTTCAGAGAATTTAGGAAAGCATCAGTATCCTTCGGAGCCAAACCTGTAATGTATAGGGTTCGCGGTCGTTTATCAAGCTTAGTCTGAACTCTCCCAGGTAAACGGACTGAACCAAAAGTGGCTGCAGCCAGATCAGAAAGCTTGATTGTCTCCAGGTTCACGAGCTAAAATAATAATGGTAAAAATGTTTTAAGAGCGATTAACGAGAGGTATTAAAAATATTAACCTGATGTTTGAGCCTAACTCGCAATAATTATGATATTGGGTTAGAAACGGACACAAAAGTAGATGTACAAAAACCTATTTGGTTTCTTTCGTAGCATTTGTTACTAGTCTATGGAACGGGAATAAGATAAAACTTACTTGACGTTTGAAATCGGCCACCTCGCGTCGCAATTGCGTAATTGAGGCGTCAGATTCTGCATCAGCTTCAATGCCAGAGGAAGCCAATGCGATTGTTTTTTCTTTTAATTGAGTTTGCAAAATGACCAAACTATTTTTAACCTTTTCAATAGCTTCTCGCCTCTCTGCAGCCACCGACTCTGGTAGCACAGAGATCAAGGCTTTGCCGACTGAGTTAAGTGAACCGCTGCCACCGCCAGTACTCGTGACCGCGGCTGTAATGACTGCGGGCGATGAAACATTTTCCGCGCCTGATGAAGTGAATCCATGCTTGAAACTTGAATCACTTAATCGCATCTCTGCTTCCAGTTTTTTCAGTTCAACTTGTAGGCGCCTAGCCGTTTCTACTAGCTTGCTACGATTAAGAAGAGGCAAAGGTTCTGTAGCCGGATCACATGGCTCTACAATAGTCTCTTCCGCTGCCTCCTTTGTATCTATAGTGAGTACAGTTTCACCAACTAATGATGCCTGGGCTGCTCTAGATTGAGGCTGTCGGCTGGCTTGATTTAACTGATTCATGATCTCGCGTAACTCTCCGGTTAGCTTGGCGAGACGTTGCTTCCTGGCTGTTTCAAGTCGGTGACGAGCTTCACGAGTTCGTTCAAGGCGGGCCATTACTTCCTGTCTAGCCTTGAGTGCAGCTGCCTTACGACGTTCCCACTGAGCTGCGGCAGCCATTTGGCGGACCTGACCAAATGAACCAGATGTAAGGGAGAAAGAAGATAGATTGTGATTGCGCCAAGACCCGAGACCCGCCTAGAAGAAAGCAATGAAAGGTATATTAAAATTATGCATATATATATATAAGCTATTCAGCTATACCTATGCTCAGGTAAGCTGGAATATTGCTGAATAGCCCGTCGGTACTTGCCACACTTAATCAAATTAGATCTTATCATTGAACAGGAAAACTCCATAAAGAGCCAGGTTTAAATGAACAAGGAAGGAAATATAATAATTTGCACCTCCAGATGTTTCTGGATATAAGATAAACTATACCCTTCACTGACGTTGAAAGGTTATCCAACTTACATTTAACCTATTTCTGATTAGCATTGGATAATAATAAAACGAATCTCACCAGATAGTTTCTAGAAATCAAAATTTTACTTAGATCTCTTACTCATTGAGCCTCAATTAAATATACATTACAAAGGAAAAATAAGAATCTAAACGCAAATGCAAGAATAATAATAAAATGATAAGCAATCAAACCATCTAATGACTCAGTAAGATATTGATATTGGATTATAAGAAGCGATTTCAGAAGGCCGTCATTTTTAGATTAAAGTCTGGTGAATATGTATCAAGTAATTATCCCAGACTCCATCAAGGTCTGCGACATGAAAGAAGCAGGCCTAGCACATATATCAGAGTAGGTGGAATGGAAGATTTCTATGTTTAAATGGGAGAGGCAGTCTTATTTCGAGTTGTGCTAAATCTACATTACAAGCACTCTCTATCCAAGGATTAATAAAAAATGAAGTTTGTTTTTAGTTCGTTAAAAAAAGATGGCCGAAACAGCATATATAGCCTATTAATATGGGAAACTGGAAAGTATTTACCACATCATAAAATTAACAATCTCATAAAAACACAAGGGGGAATTTAATTAAAAAAATGGTAACAGACAAGTGTTACAATTGAGACAAGCTATGAAGATAAGAGTCCTTTAGCCTAAAAATTACACTTGCGATGCCAAATTGATAAATTTGTCTGCGAAAACAATTGCGTCCCACCCTTATAAATCCAACCCTAAATAGTTGCATTTGAAAAAAACAAATCAAATTCTAGCAAAAATAAAGATAACTCTGATTTGAAGTGTCTAAAGTAGGAGAAATGTCTGTCGTACTACCTTATGAAGGAAAGAGCAGTATTAAGTAGATTGGTCGATTAGTCGACCCGAATGCTAAACTGTGTATAAAGCTCACAAGTTGGGAAAAAAAGATTCATATTAATTTTAAGTAGAATCTTGAATAAGAGATTTAATCGCTCGATGCTATGTAAGGTAATAAAGGACTGACGATGAATTTTCACGGAGACAAGTAGGTCTCACGATACCAATGAATTCCACTTAGTACTGTTTCTAAAAAGGTATTTCCATTAAGTGTTGATCGCCGTTTTGATCTTGCATGGGCTTCCTCAGCACCCACAATGACAATGGAATTGATCACAAAGTAAAAACGAATTTCAAGGCACGCTATACTCCCCATATAACCTTCTTTATAGTGAAATTGTCATTGAAGCAAGAATGTATTCGTTATTAGTGAAGTCTACACATCAAATCGTTGGAAAATTCACTATGGACCCTTCATCACCCTGAATAAATTAGGGTGGTTAAGGCTCTTATTTGAAAGATTACTCAAGCTTTTCAGTTACGTCACATATTTTCAGTTTACACAGCAGATTACAATATATTTATAAAGTGAATATCGTATAATGGCATCAAAATGCAAAAGTCAATTAATTGTTGCTTACCAGGTCAGTTATGTCAGATATACTTGGATTTTCAGTCAAAGCAGGGATCCAGGACTCATTGTCATTGTCTTTCCTAGATGATTTTCCAAGGCGCTGGCGAACAGAAGGCTTTTGGCTCCTCGAGGCTGCCAAAAGAGGTTCATCATCTGATCGGGCTAACTCTTCACTAGTTAATACGGCAGAACCATAGCCCTCACTGCCGGGAAGCATCGGCTTATTCATGTCCTCTGTAGCCTTAGCTTCATCTTCGTCTTCGGAGCTGCCGTCGTACAACAACATTTCTCCATCGGCGCCTCGTTCAAGACGATTTCGACGGCCCCGTCTAATAGCATCTGCAGAGGAGGGATCAGACATTGATTCATCAGTAATCGGCCCACACACTGATGTGTCAGCATTATCTGATGGCTGTAATGAAATATCAGCTCTGCGTTTTAGCGACCCAAAGGTAGAGAGTCCATTAACAGAAGACAATGATGAAGATCTGCCAGTACGAGTTCTCAGAAAAAAGCTACCTTGAGCAATATTACGTAACTAAAAAGAAAAAAATACGGGGAAATAAAATGTCAGGTTGTTTTTGGTACCGGAGCAAAGATAATGCGAGGCCTTAATGTACAAAAAATATGATACCTTGGCAGTCAGTAAAATTCCTATAGATAAGCATCCTAATTTAGAGCACTGCTCTTCCAGGACCACATAATCGAAGGAAGCTATTAATATTGGTAAAAATACAAATTCAAACTTGCTCTCAACTCAAGGCCGCGGGTATCAGGATAATTTAAAAGATAAATTTCTGGATAGATTGCCTGAATCACTTGTAAAGGAAAAAAAGAGCACTTTCGCTGAATCGTGGCTTAAGACCCTATAAGAACTGGGAAAACTAAAAAGGCCAAGAGCTTGGTTGTGTGCCTTAGCGCAACGTTTTCAGCAACAGCGATTCCGATACACCAACCCCACAAGCAAACATGATGATATTTTGAAAAACTGGGTTTCAAAGAATTCCTTAATAGATTGAAGTTGGAGTAGCCTTTATTTCGTTTGAAGAGGCAAGTAGAAAGAATTCGTAAGTTGTAGGGGGATTGCCTTGGGGCTGTGATCTGATATTTGCGCATTGCACTGTGACCCAGATGAATACTTGCTGAGCTTTCATCCATCATGTGAGGGACGTCGTCAGAAGACACCATGCTTAAGGATATTCCACCAAAACACGAAGGCAAGAAAGTTTGCCGGCTTTACACCTACCTACTCCTTATAGTTCAATTTGATTCACTTAATCAGGCAACTCATGTTTTCAAGTTGTTGATCTTGTTTTTGCAACTTGGTAATATTGGTAGGAAGACTTAGATGAACGCACCTTGTCCTGAGTCCATTATATGTATAATTATTTCCAAAGTCGGACCGTGGATATAGTACATACACACACCACACCATCTTGGTCTTCATATCTTCTATCAACTAATGTTTTGGTTAGATATCCTATGCTTTGCCTAAATGTTTGCTAAAAAGTTAAGTGGCTGAGATGAAGCGTTAAACGGATGCAATGGTGACCGAACAGCTGCATCCTATCCATCAGCCACAGGTAATTTTCGGTTAGCTTCCTAGACTTTGTCTTTTAATTCCATGTCCACGGTCTTACTCTGGAAATGATGATGCATACAATGGACTCCGGACAAAGTGCGTTCCTCTAAGTCTTCCTAACAATATGATCGAATTGCGAAAACAAGGTCAAACAACTTATATACAACGAAAGGAGACTGCGACCACACAAAAGACTACACTATCTTGGTCTCCATACCTTCGATTAGTATAAAATTACATTCCTTGCTGAGGAAAATCAGATTACGCTAATCATTTTCGAGTACTCTTAGCTCGGAAGATTTCTCTAAATTACAAAAAATGACAGACAGACAGGTTGCATGACATAGTTTTTCAACAGGTAAGATACACACAAGATAAGTTTAGGAATTTGGGTATGGGAATCGGGACAAAGATTAATCAAAATACGTCTATGAGAAACATTAGTGAGCAAAGGATAGTAGGTAAGAAAGTGGTAAATTTCTCCAAAACAGCAGTGGAGGTTACCACCGAGGAAGTGCTCTCAAAAGATTTGAATTTTGCATTGCCAAACAGTATGGATAATAGGGAGAAGATCGTGATGGAACTCATAATTTTTGCCGACCATCTCTCAGAAGACTAGGAATGATAATGAATTACAGGTCGTTCCTTAGATTGATAACCATGTACAAATAATACCCAGGAATAAGAGTGAAAAACATCATAATAAAACTAAATGAGGACCAAATGGTGATGGGGGCAGACAAAGGAGGAACAGTGGTAATTATGGATAAGTTAAGCTATGTATAAAAAATGATGAAGGCTTTGAATGACCCTACTACATACAAGGTAATCAGTTGTCTGCAGCATTTCGTAACAAACGGGGAACTGGATGAGTGGAAGATGAATACACTTCTTCAACGAGATGTTGGGCCTCCGAATGCATATGATCTGCCCAAAATATATGGATGGAGTTCAACTTAAAATTACTGCCAGCGAAATGAGAAGCGTGATGCATAAAACATCACGATTTATTTGTAACCAGCTAAAGCAAATCTACGAGATGTGCAAGGTTCCAGTTAATAATTTAAATGAATTCGTTAACTTAGTCGACGAGCAGGAGGTAGTAAGTGGGGATTTGCTGGTAAGTTTTAATGCAGAGTCTATGCATACTAACATGTCACAAGATTTTGTGCGGTAGCGTCTATGTGGGAGAGACCTGTAGGCCCATACATAGTAGGTAATCTGAACACAAAATAGCCTGCAGGGGCATGCGGGTCCAAAAATCGGAATTGGCCGAACACATAACTCAGACAGGACACCAGATAGATTAATCTAATACCAAACGCCTAGCTGGACATGAGGAATATACCAGTAAGTGAAGGATTATAGAAGCGATAGAAATCAAAAAAACAGCCAACACCTTGAATAGAAGGAATGAGTGTAGGAAGTTAAGTGGAAACTACTTGTGGCTACCGGATAGCATTAGAGAAAGAGAGGGAACGAGAAGTACCACCGAGCAAAAGAAATGGACTTGATTAGGCTCGAATCTGGCTTTGACTCACACCACACTCATTTCAAGAGCAATGCATTCACAAAGCACGCGTGCAATGGAACGCAATCCCATGCGGTAACATTGTAGGATCAAAGGTATACATGTTTTAGGATAGAATGGAGCTGTTCGGTCACGATTGCATTAGTTTCACGCTTGATCTGCAGCCGATTAATCCAACTTTATAGCAAATATTCAGCCAAAGCATAGGATATCCAACCAAAACATGAGATGCTTAATTAAGTGAACCAAATTGGACTATAAGTAGGTAGGTGTTCTGTTCTAACGATTTCCGTCACGTAACGGACGAAAGTTAAGCAAAGATTCATTGGAGTCACAGGGCAATGGGCCTAGGACCTATTCACAGAAATCTAGAAACGCAGCTCCAAGGCAATCCTCCTACAGCTTGATATGGGACAAACTTACGAAGCCCTTCCACTCGCCTCTTTTAACAAAATGGAAGGTACTCCAGCATCAAACATAGGGCTGCCCATATCCATAACGTACTAATTTAAGATAAACACGAAAAATTATTGAGGTTGTTTGACCTTGTTTTCGCAACTTGGTCATATATGTAGGAAGACTCTGAGTAACGCACCTAGTCCGGAGTCCATTGTATGCATAAGACTTTCCAAAAGTCAGAACTTGGACGTGGTTCATTCCCAGACGTTTCGCCGGCACCGTAGTCGGCATCATCAGTGAGTCTCGCCATTCTTAGCACCATAAAACAACTCGTCAAAGATACAAGTAAGCCTATCCTTTGACCAAACGTGTGCTAAACAGTTGTGGTATCTCCCCTTCTGCCCTGGGCTATTCAAATTTCCTATATCCTCCTATCACACCTTCACTATCACAATTTTTTACCGCGCCTAATTAGATGTAGTGTAGTGTGCGCCTTTGAGCGACATTCATGAAAACCCTTTACACTCCACACTATCGTAATCACCCCCTTCACCATTGTGCTGGGAATGTTGACCAATCTGCCATATTGTTACGTAGTACTCCCTCCCTGGGTGATATCAGAGTCTTCCTCTTGTCCCGTAAAATCCGTCTGTTATCTGCCTGGTACACGTATTACACTCGACCCAGGCCCCCTCCATCTGTGCTACTCGAGGCGCAATTCGCCCATCCCCTGCACCTGGGTAACTGATTTGAGGCTAAAGCCTCTGAGTAAGTCCCATGGTCACGCCTTTGCCACATGGACCACATCTCTGGTAAAATTGTCAGCCAACTAGCTTCAGTCCCCGCCGCGTCCATCCTGTTTCTATCTCTAATACCAAGTCTATGACTTGCCATGCCCTAGTCTCTTGTGTGTCAACCCACAAATA